GTTAGTTATTACAGACATTTAAACCAAAAATTACTGCAAAATAATTTACTGTTCTTTTGCATTGTTGTATTGATTATGACTCAAGTCCCCTCCCGCCAACACCATATCTGCACAAAGTTTGTCTGATCTCCCCAGGGTTGCAGAAGTTCTAAAGTTTTCTATCAAGCTAGATCAGTCTCTCAACCAGGGTGGTGTGGCACACTGGGGTGCTCCCGGGCCTCCTTTTTGTGGGACTGTGACGTGAAGGGGGGGGGTGAAAATTGAGGTGAAGAGGCTCCTGATGTAAAGGGGGAACTCTTCCCTTTTTGGATGTTTTTCAAGGGGTGCCCCTTAAAATCCATGACATCTTAGGCTGGGGTGTCTGGAGAATTTTACATACTTTTAAAAGGTGCCGTGACTGAAAAAAAGGGTTGAGAAACACTGATCTATAAAACATACTGGAACATTTACTGGCCTTTGTAATTTGGCTCTAGAGTGGGCAGACACTGCTAACCAAGGCTCATAGAGGGGAATTTTTCAAAACTGGAGTAGACAGAATCTGGAGCAGTTGCCCATTGCAACCAGCTTCTCTCTTCAGTTAAGATTTGAAAATGAAAGAGCTGCTGATTGGATGCTGTGCACAGCTGCTCCAGATTTTGTCTGCTCCAGTGATAAATTCCCCACACTGAGATTAGAAATTGGTCTGGTTAGGAGTTCTTGCCCTATAGCTACCCTTCTCCAGTGGTGTCTACAGGCCCCCAGTGCTGCAAGGAAGAAGCACTAACCACTACGCCACCATGCTGACCTGATGCAAATGTTCAGGTTTTGGGGTGCTCTGACCACCTTGAGGCACCTTTGTTGGTAGATCATGCCTACACATCCATCCGCCTGTCATGGCTAGCTATTGCTCTATAAACACCACACTTGACACAGCCAGAAGAAGCATGATTGTGACATTCATGTAAAATATATGGCCACCCTTAGTTCAACTGTTGTAGAGAGACTGGGTCTGTTAGACTATGGGGGGGGGCTGGTGAGGGGCCGCAGACATACTATAGTTGTTGAAGACTGGGGACACGCTTCAGGAAACACGTAGACTGGAGACACATTATACGAGATAACTATTCTAGACTTTCAATGCTTCCACACGTGTGCTCCCTTAGAAATAACTTGCGCCACATTTGAATTCTGTCAGCAAAATCCATTATACAACAGAAAAGGAGTGTAGGGATAAAAAGGCAGAAAATATATCAAGTAAACCAACTGACTCCTAAGAAGATCCAGCGATGAGTATGTTTCCTTCACTAACCCAAGTTAGCACCTCAGTGAAGCACAGAGACTAACGTCTGCAGGGGCCCAGAGGGCCACACAACAAATGTCATAGGAAACTAGGGATTAAAGGAAACATTGAGGCACCATTTCTGATCTCCCATTGTGCAAATGCTAACTGCCTGGCTGTCATAGTGAACCTTGGCTTCAATTCTGTGCAGCAGGTAGTTCTGGATTTACCTGTGCCAAGTCAGTGCCTCACAGGGCCCGGGGTCAGCAATGTGAGGTTAGTGATTGCAGAACCAAGACTTCGCTCAGGAATAGTTTACTGCCATTGCTGTATCAGAGGGCACGTATAGAATATGTATCACACAACACTGGACGAAGAAAAATAAATGAATGACGCAGAAAATGATGGCGTCACTGGAAACCTGACATCTATATATACACATACAGCCGGGGGATCGTTGGCCACCTTGGGGCTGTTCGGCTTCTGTGGTACTACAAGTCCCAACCCCCCCCGGGATGGCAGTACACTAGTGTGGCGGCCTTGTGTGTCTATAGACATCCGTGTAAAGAGTGCGGGGCGCGGCCGCCTATAGGCCAGGTGTAGGTCTGGCACTAAGCCGGTTGATCCCCGTCCACATGCAATTCATCCCCCAATGCCCGGCCTACCCTCACATATCACACTTACCACACACAGAGAACGGGGGACGCTACCGGCTGGCTGCTGTCTTCAGACGGTATCACCTCACTACTACAACGACCAACACCCCTCACAGACACTCCCCCAGACAGTCACTTCCGCATTACTCGCCACAGGGAGCGGATGGAGCGAACCACCCAACACTGAGGGGTCATGCGATCACTCAGAAAAGGATAATACTTCGTGAGCGAGACGCGGGAGCTCGTCTAAAACATTTTTACTCTCGGTTTAGTGTACACAAGACAAACTGAAATATAAAATATGGGGCGTAATAAAATGGGACTGCGCTCTCCCCATGTTTAGGATTGGTACATCCCACATCAGAGGGTGGGATACATTCCAGTGAGGGTGACGTAATGAGACATTGGCTGACACATGTCCTTGTATGGAAGCGGAGGCTGTGATCTCGCGGGACTTGTCGATTGAACGCTGTCGCTGTGTGCCAGGCTGGGAAGTGTGTAAGACCATGGAGAGGAAACTGTGCTCACTTTATGAACCTCACCCTACCTGTGGGAAACCAGAGTCCATAACTCTACTGTCCCCGAATAATAATAAAACCATACTAATCTATGGAGTCCAGCATTGTCTTACTTGCAGCTGAAGTTATTGTGCTTTCTATCTGCAGCAGCATATTGATACTCCTGTTCATACATGCACAGATATGCAACAGGTCTCTGCCATGTAGAGACCGAAATGTACAAGGGTACCGGTACTCTTAAGAATGAGAACACTCATGGACCTATACACACACACACACACAATAGGTTGGACTTGATGGACTTATGTCTTTATTCAACCTCAAATACTATGTAACTATGTATTTAGGACTTTGTGGAGATACTGCACATGTGCAAACATACTGCTGGTCTATGACATGTATTTATGACTTTGCAGAGATACTACACATGTGCAGACATACCACTGTTCTATGTAATGTAAGTAGGACTTTTTAGGGATACTGCACATGTGTGGAGATAACGCTGGTCTCTGACATTTAATTATTACTTTGTGGACATACTACACATGTGCAAACATACTGCTGGTCTATGACATGTATTTAGGACTTTGCAGAGATACTACACATGTGCAGACATACCACTGGTCTATGTAATGTATGTAGGACTTTTTAGGGATACTGCACATGTGTGGAGATACCGCTGGTCTCTCACATTTAATTATTACTTTGTGGAGATACTGCACATGTGCAAACATACTGCTGGTCTATGACATGTATTTTGGACTTTGCGGAGATACCGAGCATGTGCAGACATTTGGCTGATCTCAGAGTCATCCTCGCCTAGACAAGGAATCAGAAAGTAGTGAGTTGCCCCACGATTAATGGTATTTACTCCGTCTAACATAAAAAAAAGATCTGCTATTGTGTAGAGGAAGGAGGAAACGGATGAGAGGAAGTTTATAAGTGAAAGTGCCCTGTGGATGCAGAAAAATGAATGAAACACCGGAAACCCCATCTACTAATATTCACCTGTCCAGCAATTCCCCAGCACTTCGTCCTCCATCACAGCCAGTACTAGAATACCTAGTGATGGAGCCTAGTGGGACAAATGACCTCAACCCTCCATCATATGACAGTGCTTGGGCCTAGTGACTGGCCAATAGACCCGAGCACTGTCCCAAGGGGGGAGGTCAAAATCTACTACATACCAGGAAACACCAGGTATTTTTGCACTAGATTAGGTAGAGGAAGGAGTGGTGGGCTATTACTGGAGAGGTGAGTATGAGTGAGTTGGGGGGACTTTTCACAGACTATGTCACTTTGCCCATGAATGTCTATTTAAACAGCTGCTATGTAAATTAAAATTTGTATTAATATTATAGTCTATTACAGGAGTGAGCTTGGAGCGGTGGCTACTTTACAACACACACAGGGACCATTGGGAACACAAGTAGCCCCCCTCCAGAAGGAAGAACAGTGTCAGCATGAGTTCAGAGATGATTTGAGTGATACACAAATAAGATACATTTTTGTTGATAGATAAGGTACTTGAATGCATTTTTAAGATTTAACTCCTGAGTTCATTGCCACTTTAGGAAGCCATAAGAAATACCCCTTTACACTGATCAGTGCTGACATTTCTACTTTTAGCTGCTCTGATAGATAGATTGGGCTCTCAACTATCAGATCGCATAGGTGTGTGTTCAGTGGGGAGGTAGTCTAGAACATAAAAGGTATGTCCTAATCCCTGAACTGCTTGAAGCCCAGCTCTAAAATAGTTTTTATCAGATTCTGTTTATTGTCCCCAGTGGGCTGATGTCCCTTCACATCTTGTTAAGGTGACAGAAAAAAAAGAACATTAAAGAACATTAAAGAGGAAAATGACCAATGTAATGTCTCCCTACTTATAAGGCATGTCAATTGTCAAGTTTGCCAGTGTGCTTATTTCCACACAACCTAACTTTCAAGCCCTCAAATGGCTGGTGACATAGCTCATCATACGTGGAGCACCATGGCAACTGTATTCAAAAAGTGGCTAAGATGGCACGTAGATGTAAAGGATAGTTAGAAGTAATGATAGGTTTCTAAAAAGGGGAAGAGACCTCAGCAAAACCAGGCAAGGGTTGTAACCACTGTCAAGACTTTATCTTGTGTCTATTTGTGTCTTCCTGGATCTGGTGACACACTTGCCTCTCATTTCTTATCCTGGTCTCACAGGGACGGGAGGGGAAATCTTCAAAATTGAGTCATCAGCAGCAAAAAAAAAACAAAAAACTCTCAGACCTTTTAACCCATCTTAAAAACCAAAAGTTTTGTCTGGAACAATGGATCAGTATAGGTTCTCCCACCCACCTTAGCTAGTATTCCACTGCATAGTGTTTACTTTATTTTTTTTCTTCCGGCAAATGGTCTCTTTTTTTCATCTCTATGGAAAGTGTAGTCAGACTTGCATACTGGAGTACAGATGGTGAGAGTAAACACTGCTCAGTCAGAGGAGCCTGCAGGTGTAGGACACATCATTCTAGCCTAGGTGAGAATGACAGTGGGGGACAGGACCGGAAGGAGAAAATTATAAAAAGGAAACAGATTGCATCCAGTGACAAGCGTCTATCCCGATCCGCAGATAATTGTTCCCTATATGATTACATGTGGAGAACCACGAACAGATGCGGCCACTGTCAGTCTGTCATTTATTTATATAGGCACAGCAGCCACATCTGTATGGACACACCTGGGATCCTTGCTGCAAGAGTCCACAGGCTTCAATTGTTTCAATAGCTGTGTACATGAGGCCTAAGTCTCCTAACCTGAAGAAGGAGTTGGCCACAAGAGGACAGGCTTCGCAGTTTAGCATTATCATGCAAATTCATAATAAGGGTATCTAGCATGAGTAACAATATACAGTATTTACAAAAACTTGAAGGCTTACATTGAGTGAACAATGAGGGGAATTTATCAAAACTGGAACAGACAAAATCTGGAGCAGCAGTGCATGGCAACCAATCAGCTTCTCTTTTTTATTTTCAAATCTTAACTGAACAGACTGAAGAGAGAAGCTGATTGGTTGCCATATGCAACTGCTCCAGATTCTTCTGCTCCAGTTGTGATAAATTCCCCCCAATGTGTTTATAATTGGGTCCACGTGCCTGTGCCATTAAGACTTTTCATAAAATATCATTTGGGCAGAGAATAAACTTAAATTTGTGGCTATACAATGTAATATTGGAGACTGGATTGTAATGGGATTAAATAGACTGGCTCTAGAACATAAAAAAAGGACTGTGACTGAGCTACATTTTAGTGGAATGTTTTCTAACAATCATGCCCAATATAAAAATATACAATATACAGCATATATATTATCACAGGCACTTATATAACTTATATATCACTGACATACTGCAATTCACATCATACCCTGACCTCAAAGAGCTTACAAACTAAGGTCCCTATCTCACATGCCTGCATACATACTAGGGTCAATTATCTACCAGCATGTCCTTGGAGTGTGATAGGAAACCAGAATACCCACACAACCACAGGGAGAACATGCAAACTCCATACAGGTCATGTCCAGGTTAGGATATGAACCAAGGACTCTGGTGCCTAAGCCTATAGATATATATATATAGAGAGAGAGAGAGAGAGAGAGAGAGAGAGAGAGAGGAGAGAGAGAGAGAGAGAGAGAGAGAGAGAGAGAGAGAGAGATCTCTATATATATAGTAAACATCATTAAAATGTATATATAACCTGATTGATGAAAAAAAAAGACTTGAAAGGTACTGAAATAGGAAAGGAAACTGAACACATTTTATAATAAGAAATCGTAGGTTACCATAAGGCAGATATTTATTCTTGATGTATGTAATTTCAGTCTCTTTTATTGTGTTTCATAGAGAATTCCATTGACATTGACTATCATGCTCTTTTTTCTGTGCCGTTCAGTATCAACTTTGGATCTACATGAAGACATTTGAGAACCAGCAGAGGGCGCTCTTGTATATTGAAGTGTTTGACATTGTAATATTGTGACAATTCTGTGTTTCTACTCAAAACGTTTCAACAATCTGTTTAGCAAATAAAAACTTTTGTTTGTTTTATTAATGACCATCTATAAAAAAAAAGTATCGTTTTGTTTTTCTGTTCTCTGTATATTATAACAATCATATTTTCATCACCACTAGCATTCTTTACAGATTTGTTTAGCCTTAGATATCTTTGTACATATTACTGAACATTATTACAGCAAGCTCTAGATGCTTAGTTACATACTGACTGTTTTATTAGAACTTATTTGATATGAACTTATTATTTTCTAATAAAATTTAAATATTGATCTTTTGCACCACTACTTTATTACTTTTTTAAACATTGTCAGCAGTGTAAATCTTATGTAAAGTTTCCACTGGTGGGAAGTAGTTGAATTAAAATCATTATGTTGACAGCAAGACAAGAATCTGGTGAGAAATAGCAACCATGGTTTGCCCTGTCACTGCCTATCAGTTTAGGAATGCAGGATTGTGTGCAAGTCCAGCCAAAGACTTATGACAATTGACCTTCCTTCTCTCTGTCAGTTAGGATATTGGAAGAAGTATTCACGCCTGGATAAATTTCATGGTTAGCTGATCAAATCATCAGAGTTTTATTC